CTAAGTAGATAGAATATGGCTCTGGGTATATTATAGTCGGATCCCCATATACCCTATGTTCTATCTACTTAAAGGGGACTCTAGGAGTTGTGGCTTCGGGCACAGAAGTGCCTGATTGAGGCAGCTGCAGTTGGGGAGCTCGCCACCAGGACCTTTATGTAATCTAGGAGATTATCTAGACTTTAGGGTCTAAACTCCTCAAAGAAGGGTTGGATAGGGGATACTATAGGGGATCATAGAACCTCGAGTTCTGGGCTTGTGGTCCCTTACGCCTTCCCGCTGGTCCTTTGCCCCCCATCTAGACTTCCCTTTCTTGCGAATACATTCCATCTAACAGAAAATACAGGGGGCTCTTCAGCAATGTCTGGTCTTGACTGATCAAGATAATATACCTCTTGAGTCCTTGCGGGCCTCAGTCCCTTGTTTCAAACCATGTGTGTATCCCCGAACATTCCAGTATACCCGTGCTTTGTACCCTCGGAGAAACCTTGATAGTGGTTGTGTGTATGAGTACGTAATCTGTAGCAGATTTTGGGGCATTTTCCCAAGCCCCTAAACCCTAAAGCGTGTCAGGAACATATCCTACTGCGCAAGGAACCCGGACCTAAGTCTGAGCGCTGAACGATTACCATATGAGTCATAACCTGAACTACTTAAATTAAAGGCGGTTAGACAAGGAATTCTAGTGGGGACTATGATAGGTCTTATGAAGGGGGATACTCGGAGTTTAGACTATAGCTCATATCCCCAATACTTGGAGGCTCAAGGGGACTTAGCACGGGTATTTAAAAAAAAACCGATAAGCCACATACTAAGCCTAGTAATCCCAATTACTAACCCAGTTAGTGAGTAAGTCCCTCTGGCCTTTCAAGTACTCTGACAAACTATGGGAAACATCCCGAAAATTGATATTTCGTTTAGGCCTCACCGCGTGCCCTAGTCTATGTATACACGAGCCCGAACATCTCAAAACGACCATTTGAACGAACATTCCAATCAGGTGCAAAAGCCTAAAATCCGAAAGCCACAAGTGTTGACAAAAGCCTTATGCAGAAGCCTGAACAACTATCAATGCTATTGACTCGTACTTGAGGTATAGGAATGTAGCATAGTCAAGGCCTTGCAGCGAAACCCTATACTGGTTAAACAGGCCCCTGTACTCCACCTGTAAACCCTGGTTTCCATTTCATGTTGCAATTTTTGTAGCGTTGATTCTGAGCTACCTTCGCTATTTAGGACCTGGAGCCTGACCTTGAACTTCAATATTTGGCACTGCACTGTTCTAGTTATAGTATCACATATCTTAGATTATGGTATCATGTGCTCCAAATCCTATGCAACGCCCCTGGTGTTGACCCTAAGCCTTAACCCCCTCTATCTCTATTCAGCCGTTAGTAGCCCATATGCACCCTTTGAAGCCTGAAACCCTAAAGCTATAATCCCTAAAGCCCCAAAGCCCCAAAAGTAACCCTTAGACCCGAAACCCTAAATTCATAGAGTCCCAAAATTCTAAAGCCCTGAAGCCTTAAAACCCTTACCCTAAAACCTTAAAGCCCTGAAACCCAAAAGGTCTCAGCCCTGAAAGCCTCAAGCCCTAAACCCCTAAAGCCCCAAAGACCACGCTAGGTTCCTGGCCTGCACTGGCGAGCGTCAGTCTCCCATCGATGTGTTGACAACAGGGCCGTGCGTCCGCAGCCTGGGGCAGGACCACAGAGCTATAGCAAAAACGTCTTTAAGGGGCTTATATAGAGGACTATGTGGGGGAGTATATAGGGGCTTATATGGGGGACTATATACGGGAGGACATAAGGGATTATATTGGGGAGTATTATAGAGGTTCTGCAAAGCTGTTGCAAAGCCCAGAGGTAATTTCAGGTGAGCTCCCCACACTTGAAGTTTGGATAAGCCTCCCTTGGAGGGTCAGGGGGACTTAGTAAGTGGCTTAATGAGAGGGATACCTGGGGTGACTGTATGGGTTATAGGGGTTATCAACCTACTTACCAAGTTTCCCTGGCCCTCCAAGTACCACTATGGACCCCTTAATCTAAGTCCCCATAAGCCGGTGTCGCCATCATGTACCTGTTATACAACCCCCCCCAGCCCCCCAAGAAGTGGAAAACCCACCTCCTGCAATTGGCCTTCCGACGCCCAAGGTCCATGAAAGTAGGGTGCCCATGAAGACATCTACCAGATAAATACAGGACATAACCCCATGCAACAAAGGTGGGCTCCATAGGGTCCATGCAAGGCCCACGCCAGGAACCCCAAGCCCCAAAACAGAAGTCAGGAAAAACCCTAAACCCCTAAACCCCTAAAACCCTAAAACCCTAAACCCCTAAACCCCTAAACCCTCAACCCCTCTCAGACCCAAGCAGCATTTGCAGGACGGCATATTGGAAGGCAGGACGAGGTACTTCACGGCCGGCGGCACTCCCAAGGCTCCCCCTGGGGTTGGAGGTCTCGGGTTGTCCCAGTTTTCCCTAAGGGCTCCTTTAAGGGGGTTATAGGGGGATACATAGGGATATATGGGGACTATATTAAGGGGCGAAGGACCCAAATAGTAGGGTTTTAGGGCCCAAATACAATAATGGTAATGGTATTGGGACCCTAAAACCCTGTTATTTGGGCCCTTGGACCCTTAGGGTTTGCGGGGCTTGTAGAGACTTATGTAGGCTTATGAAACGTCTGGGTTGTGCAGGATTATGTGCGGGATGTTGCGGGTAATGTTTGATGAGGGTGCTACAGGCAGGGAGTTTCGAGTTTTGGGCAGTCGAGGTTTCCGAAAACAGTAAGGAGCCCGACTTGGACCCCACCATACTATGATCTTCATTATAGACACTCACAAGAGATGACCCTTAATTTTGGAACAAGGACTAGCGGAATCTATTCCGTTATATAGAGATGATATAGGGATTATATTTAATTCCTTTGGGATTTTTCTTGTGGGGCTTGAGTCTCGCCGGTTGCGCTGTAAGGCGCTTCTTGGGATGCGTGCCCTTAAACGTCCAAAGTTCTAAACACGATGGTTTGAGGTACCCGACACGATGCAGATTATGGTAATTGGCACCTAAGAGCTTCATATTTAATTCCTTGGGCTGTTAGGGCTTTGAGGGCTGAAAGGAAGCTAGAGTAATTGGGGAGTGTCCGCCCGAGTTTGAGCAAGGTGGGCCTCAGAAGAATCGCGTGCAGGTGTGGGCTCGGGGATTCTGAACCCCCAAGCCCTAAACCCCAGCCCTATGTGAAGCAACCCTTCAAGTAAAAGAACTTCTCTACCTCATCTTATGGGGTGATTTTCATGATCCCCTCCTGACCTCAATGTTTTTGGCTATGGCTTCCTATCTTTGAAAGGACTTGAGGTATCCTTCCCCCAGGTAACATGAACACCCGCAGAGACCACCGTTTGTGACAGGACTTTGAGGGCTTCCATGTTCGTGCTTTGAGAGGGTAATTGGGGATTTGAGGAGTATAGTAGGAGGTCTGCCACGTTTCCAACAAACAGGCTTCCAGCCTGGTCAAGAGCGAAGTTTGACGCGCATATTCCGAGGGAACTTGTCATGGTGCATTTTGGGCCGTTTCAAAATTTGTCTTATTGCCACACTCGTCAAATCGTGCAGCTCCACCGCACTAGCAATGAGCGACAAAGACAAGCAGGCTTCACCAGGACCATCCCGATGATTCATGCTGTTCTCACTACATTCTACATCCCCAAACCCCCCCCCCCCAACAACCTCCCAAACCTGGATGGGCTTCCACAACAAGCTTTGAAGACTACCGTCCCTCCAAAAAGGCACGTCTGTGTCAGCAGGATATGATTCCATGATTGACACTGTGCTTGCTTCTTGTCATTATGGACCTTCAAACCACTTCGTTCATGGCTGCTAACCCCAAACCTTAGACTCAGACCATGCGCCATTATCCAAGTCTGCCTAGGTCACCGTAAGCCCCTACATGCGGTCTGTGATGTTGGAAAGCGATTTCGGCTCTATCATGCTTCAGGACCACGGGAAAGGATCTAGGCAGGGGTTGAAGGTTTAGGGGGTCCGGGCTCTCAAGCGAAAGGGAGTTAAAGACCAGGGAAACACTACGACAACTTCCAGGTAAAGAGTTCAATGTCGCTGTGCAATAGCAAGCTAGCATCATGGCTGGCTTTATCGTCTATCGTTGAGATGAAGGTTGTGCTGGGAAGGATAGGCAGCTAGGGTGACAGTGGCTTATGCTGGAGTAGAATCCTGGGATGTAAGTTAGCGATTTTCGTTCAGTTTCTACTAGATCAGGGCTGTGAATGTTGAGCAGCCCCATCCCGACTGACAGCGCCCGCAGCATGCTGCGGGCAAGGCGCGAAAGCTCCAAAGACAACTTGGGGAACGTTGGGGACACTTACTGGGTTGCTGTTAAGGAACTTGAAATAAGTTGCTACCTTGAAAAAACCTTATTATTTACTACATATACCCATTATGCTAACTTAATTGAGTTCCTTAACAGCAACCCAGCTTACAGCAAGTGTCGAAATCAGATTCAGCCGTAGAGCCTCGAAAGGTCCCCACGACGCCTTGTCACGTCTGGTCAGGTGGCCAGCGAGTACTCGATGCTAAATGAAAAAAACTGTGGTAAACAGCAAGTGTTAGCAAGTATAGCTGGACCTTTGACACGAGCTTGCACAGGCTGCCCGCACATTCCGTAGCATCAGCATTTTGGGTTTAGTGATGTTGAGTGGGTGATTTCTTAAACGGCCCCATGCTAACAAGCACCTAAGATAGTTGACACGCATCCTCTTTGTGCACCCATATCTACTTCTGAAGACTTCTACCCCAAAGCCGACACCTCCGCGAATTCTGTGAGTATATCCGTGTTCCTCAAAATCATTCCTCTAGAATCCGTATTAAGGACCCCCAGAAGCCCCTACCCAAGACCCAAGACTCCGAACACTACAGTAAGCCCCGAACCGAAAGCCCAAGACACTAAATTAAATATGTTGGGAGAGCTCCTCAGTTGCTCCTGAGGATGAGACAGGCCATGACGTCGAGTACACAGCACATCAGGCTAGCGGTTGCTCCACAAGGTTTTGGTCTTAGGGTGTAGGCTTTAGCTTTGTGGGGTGAGGCTTCAGGGCTTTGGCTTTAGTGTGAAGGCTGTCGGCCTGTGTCTGTAGGTTAAAATTTTCAGGGTTTGGGATCCTCAGGCGTAGGTTAGCAGGGATGATGTAGGTATTCAACTGCTTCTACGGAGATGGACGCTCTATCTACAGGGTTTAGAGGGAAGGCTTTGAAGGACACATGCACAGTGTCTAGTTAGGGATCGATCTGTTCCCGCAAGTCCACAAACCCCAGCCGCCGCTTCAGCGTGTCTGAAAGAGGAGCAAACACATTTGGGACGTCCGTGGCATTAAACGGGTAGGGAGATGATTAAGAACATTTCCTCTGACATCGCTTCAACCTTTTCGAATTTAATTTCAGGGTGGGGGATTCTGACGTTTTCTTTGTGCTAAAGTTCGCTAAAGATTTTTAGAGCTTCCTGACAGGCGACATAGGCTCACTAAGTGCCATGGCTGCGAACCCAAAGGCTCCAGCATACAATAACCATGTACTTCCAAAGTTCTGATACGAGTCATCGCTTTGGGTTTCTGGGAGTCTCGAATTCCATGCCGCGATTCCTCAGAAAACGGTCAAGGGGGCAGGCAAGGCTTACACACTCGCTTACCCCTGGCCAACTAACTTTGCGAGCGTTCCAACTTGTAGTTTTCAAAGGCCAGCGCCGCTCTGTCAGCACCACTTTCCGATCACTCCGACAGACAATGCAGCCCATCCACACGCAAGCAGCAGGACTTAATCCCACGCGCTCACACCTACCAATTTCCAATTATGTGAGTTTACACACCTACATCACTTGCATTTGGTACACTTCACACCCCGAAACCAAAGCCACAGAGACCAAGAGTCAAGCTGGAACTCAAACCGCCCAAACCATCAACCCGAAGCCCTCAAAACGTTCTCTGAGTTCATCAGGCTTTTACCAATGCAGTTATAATCTTATAGCATTGCATATGGACATGATGAGTGGCGGTGTCTCTTTATAAACATCGATTGACATAAATCCGCATTGTGTGGGGCCCCTAAACGGGTATCAACATTCCGAAGACCCCGCTAAACCCTAAACCCTAACCCATAGCCTGCGTTTGCCAGATTCATCTTTCTTCGGACAGCTGGCACACGCTGGATGGTCACGCTGCCGATGCAGGATGCTCAGCAACGCCGCGGTGATCTCATTTTAGGAATGCAACAATACATGGGTGGTTGTCAAAATTATGGTCCTTTTTTGGGGTACCCTAAATATTAGGGGCCGTAGTATAATAGGGAATGTGTACTTATATATATATATATATAGATACATACATTCATTTGCGTAAGTAGTTATAAGGGGATGATATATGGTTGTAGTGGAGAATCAAAGGGAAAGCAAAGACGTCGACCTAGTTCTCAACAAATCACCCCAAGCAACTCTCCCCTCACCCTAGCGGCACCCCGCCCTCCGAACAGACCTAGTTCGAATACCCTCTAGCTAGAAGCGCAGCACGCCAAGGGACCTCAGGGATATAGTGAGATTGTGGATAATTTGCAGAGCACAGTATACGAGGGTAATCAAGGTGTTGGGCAAAGCCTACTTGGAGGGTTAGTGGGACTTCGTAAGTAGACTCATAACTCATAGAAGACATGAAGTAGCCCCCGAAGGAGCCCTACGCATGTCTAAGTCCCTTCAGCCTGAGCCGGACCTACCCCGAAGGGTTTAGGGTGTGGCGGTGAAAGAAGCCTCCTGCAAAAAAAGGGTGTAGAGTAAGTAACCTAGTATATTTGCAGGGCCTGAATAAGAGGTTCTCATATACCTACTTTGCTTCTCAAGTATCTATGACATGGGTTCATGGACCCTTTGCGTGTTTAGCTCGGACGCCGTTGTGGAAATTTCACGCCCAATGATTTGGCGTGGAGGGGTTTGCAATTACAACAGCATGTATGCCAAAGTGTGACGCAGCATTTGACAGCTACCGACTTGGGTGCTGCAAGCCGAACTGCGCAATGGACCTCATGATCAATTTGCTTTATATGGGGGATTGTCAAAATTATGGTCCCTTTTTGGGTCCTAAATTGGGTCCCGTATTAGGCCCCTTATTGTATTAGGGACCCAAACCGGGACCATAATTTTGACAATCCCCCATATAAGTAGCTCAAATACTTTCAAACAAGGCACGCACTATACCCTAAACCCTATACCCTATAGACCCTAAACCAGCCGGCTACAAATTAGTTGACCCTGCGAGGCCGAGTGTTGCTCTACGTTCCCTTACTTGGAGGGTCATTGGGCTTTAGCAAGTATATTGATAAATGTAGTAGGCCAAATATAGTAAGCCCAAGTATCCCAATAGGTAACTTACGTACTAAGTTCCCTGACTCTGCAAGTGCGAAGGGTGCTTCCCCGACCGTTGTGCTTTGCCATGGCAGCAAGCGGGCCGTTTGCCCCAAGCCTGCGCTGTTTGGCGCATCTGGGATTGAAAGTTGCTTTACTCTCCACATAGTAGTTCCCTGAAATTGGGGGACCCCATTGCATACCCCAATTTCTCACTGGGACCCTCAAAAAGGGCACCCCTAGCTTTGGGAGTTAGCCCCCGAAACTGGATCAGGTACATGCGGCACAGTGACCGCCTCGATTCCTCAGAGCCAAGCCACTCCTGGGCAGATGCGAAAGAGCGGCCGTATGACACCCCCATCAGCGACTGTGCCCTTTGGCAATCAGGGTTATGCTAATTCCTCTTCATGGTCATGCTAATTCTTCTGCTTCCCTCCACACTTACAGTACACAGCTAGGGAATCAATAATAGGAGCAGCAGAAGCAGTAGTAGCTGTAGCATTGTAGCAGTAGCCCATAATGTTAGTTTTCACACCCCATTTGCAGCCGGGAGCTGCCCGTGCAGGCCGCAAAGTGCTTGAGCGAGAGGTTGCCCGAAGGGATGCAGGTCAGAGCCTAGATCTCATTAGCAAATTCATTACTGCGAATTCCAAGGTCGTGTCCCAGGTTTTGTTCTTTTGTGACTTAAACGTCCTTTTGCAGGGTAGCTGTGCCGCTGAGGCGCTGTGGTCAGCTCACCCTTCCGGCGGTGCCTGCAAACGGCTGCCCTGGTCGCCAGTGGACTGGGTCTGAAGGCGCTGTACGTGGACAACCGGTTGATGGAGCAGATTTGGAAAGCTTTTCACCTTGTTTGACCCACTGCTACTCCCGCTGTGAACACCCGTTGTTACCCTTGAAGAAGTAAACTTGCTTGGGGCGTTTACAGCGAAAGGTTGGGGGAGCTCATGGCAGCTGTGGCGCGGGATTGTGGAGGTCCTGCCAAGCTGGAGGCGTTGGGAGGCCTGGAGTACATGCCTCTTTTGGAAGCAGCTGCAATTGCAGAGTGCTCGGGCCTACAACTGCATTGGGACCGAACTGCGAACGTGCCCGCCGAAAACGAAAGTCCGGCTGACATCTTAGACCGCGTTGACGCGGGGGCTGCTATTGCGAGCACTGCTATCGACGGCTGCAGCTCTCCCGCTTGCGTGCTGCTGGTTACGCACGCGGACCTGCTGATGCAACGCTTGTCCAAGCTTCTGCCAGGAAGCATTTGGGCCCCTGAGACCTGTGCCTGGTTCGTTGAGTGTTTGGAGGACGCCAGCGTGCTCGGAATGCACCGTTTGGAACGCATCCTATGAGATGTTAAGGCCCTTAAACCCTAAATCCTAAACCCTAAACCCTATCCTGTAATTCCTTCGGGCCAAAGAGGCATTGGAGCAGCGCCCGGTGAGCAAAGTTGCAGACTGCTGATTGCAGCCAAAAGAAGGAAAGGGAGAGTGTGCGCATGCTGCATAATTTATGGGGGATAGGGATTGGTAGGGGGTATATTGGGATGTATGAGGATGATTAGGGCCTGAATTATCATCAGGGTGTAGGGGTGTTTCCCCACTAACTGAAATTCACTTGGGATTATTGTAATCAGGGGCCACGTTTTTGGGAGCCCTTAAGATAAGAATTGCAGTGGTGGGGGTCCAGATTGGAACCCCCCTTGTATGCAAGTCTTCATAGAAGATGAGCTGAAACCTTCCTCAGGTGCCGGCGCGGAGAGTGAAATCTGAAGCCTTCCTGTGCTTAGTGCCAACATTGCTCCATGTTCAAAAGTAGTCCCCTGTTTCTCGCAGAATGTAGCCCCCATCCTCCTATCATGGATATTCCCCTGATATAGAAATGCTACTGTATAGCTTAAGGGATATATATATATATATACACACAAGCTGTCTAGTTATTTAGTGGGTGGATTAGTAACGAGCGGAGCAGAATAGGTGGAAGCGATAACTTGCTGTAGGCGGCCTTCTTGGACGGAACTTATAGGGAGTTGCTCAAAGCACGCCTCATACTCTAGACACGGCTAATAAACTCCCCCTTAATAGGGACTATCATAGGGATTCTAATATTTCGACCCTTAAAGGGAGCGGGCTTATTAATCACGGGTCTACATTACACATTTTCAAGAGGACACCCTAGAACCCCTGTCATCCCTAGAAGTTCCCGAGGTTTGTAAGGCTTTTTTTTTGCCGAAGCCCGGAACGGTACATCCCACACTCTGAAGCAAAAGAGGTTAGAGCTTGGGAGGCCCGAAGCCCAGGCCTCACTCTCACCACACTTTCGCAGATGGGTGGGTCTCAAAATTATGGTCCCTTTTTGGGTCTACATATTAGGTGCCGTATTATAATAGGGATCCAAAAAGGGACCATACTTTTGACAACCACCCAGATAAGGCCGAGCTGATGATCTTGCATAAGCCCAAAGATCAGAGCGACATGATCAAGGGCGGTGTGGCAGGGACCTCAGGGAGTCACTGGGAATGTCTGAAAGCCAGGGAGTCAATAGTCAATAGATGGAAGGTGGGCACGCAGGGAATCTTCAGGTTCTGGTTGCTACACAGTAATGTAGCTAGTGCTGCTCTTGTTTTATGATTCTTTTACCATTGCTATTACTCGCGCTCCTACTGTTGCTCTTACTTTTACTACTCCAAAAGTGCTGCTGCTGCTGCTGCTACGACGACGACGGTGCTACTACTACTCTTACCTATCTTGGGGTCTCCTATTGGCTGAAAGCTTCCCGCTGTGAAGGACACTGCTTGCATTAGCCTATTGTACATCTCATTGTATGTATGCACCCAGAGCACACACCCATCATTTTTGAAGATGCGCCTTGCCATTTGTTGAAGATACATCCGGAATTGAGAAGCGTATGCCTCTGGAGCTTCTTGTGAGATGTGCTGTTACATGCTGTCACTTTTTATGTCCAAACCCTTTGATAGCGAGATCCCCGAGGCCCTTGTGTCTTGCATGTTGGACGCGGGCTTAGGAACAATCCAGCGTAGCCCAGCAGCAAGCCTTCAGGAAGGTTCAGAAAACATTAAGACCGAGTCTAGCTAACCCAATACTAAGACCATACCCCGCACAAGTGATTAAATCTGGGCAAGCAACTGAAGTTACAACTTGGAAAAGATGTTAGCTACTGTCAACATTAGGCTTACCAAGGGACCGGTAAGACTGGACATATGGTAGTTTAGTATAGTCCCACATATATTCCCCCATAGGAACCCATGTCCATTAATCATATGGGAAGTATCGGCTGTAGCTCATATATATATTTATTTATTTATTTGTTTATTTATTTATTTTTCAAGAACAGTTCTAAGTCGGGATTGTAAGTTCTCATAGCTTGCCCTGCAACCCAGATCTTGAGCGTCATGTTCGAGCATGACGACTCTGCGGACAGCCCTCTTTTTGAGCACCTCGGTATGCCGAAGGCTCGTGGTTTCATCGCAGCATGGGTGTCGCTCCTTTGGGGGGTATGCTCGGTCAAGGGGACATCTTATGAAGGGAGAAACCATAAGAAGGACCACTATTTACCAACTCACCATGCTTGATTCCCTACATACTGGTGGGATTGCAAAAGGTACCCTACTTGGGTAAGCCCATATGCGGTAAGACTAACAAACAGGGTACCCCTAGTTTCGGGAACTCCCACGTAGGGTCTTTCAACATCCGACGTCTGTGGACGAAGCCTTGCATCACCGAACAAACCTTATGCCATAGACACCCTAAATCCCTAAACCCCTAAATCCTAATCCCTAAACCCTAATCCCACAAAATTTAGACTATGGCTCATATGGATATCTGGGCCCCCTGGGGATAAATGAGGTTAAAACCATGGGCCCCTAGTATGGGCCCTTAACCGTGGGATCCTTATATAAGGCCTAAGGACCCATATTAGGGGCCCCAACTTCTACCTTTAGAGGATCCTAATTCCTAAGCCCTCATCCCACAAAATTTAGACTATGGCTCATATGGATACATGGGCCCTCTGCCTAGACCCTCCATCTACCCTCTATATACCCCTAAATACCCACTGTT